GTGACTGTGATGGGATATAAATTTCATTAATAAAATAAAGCGGGGGAGAAGAGAAAGGGGGAGGAGGGAGAGAGGGAGGGAGGGAGAGAGAGAGAGAGAGCGCGGGAGGGAGAGAGAGAGAGAGATCCAGATTTGTGGACACTTGTGGACAAATCAGAATTCTTTCCAGAATTCCTATAAAGTTTGGAACTTAATGGACATGAAGCAAAGCTAGCATTGTTGTGTGTGAGTTGCATATGGATAACCACTTCTATTTTTGAGATTTAAGCCATGTGGATTCTATGAATATTTATTGATCTAGCCTAATCCTTTTGGATTTTGTCATCCCATCTGTCATAGTATTTTCGGTTATTGCATGCTTGTTGATAGGAGAAGGGAGAATGAATTTATAATTTCCAGGTACTCTGAGAGGGAGTATTTACTATGGACCTACTTTCTGGTGCTGTCACTGGTTATGCATCTATTTATCCCTATCTCTTTTTTCTGCAGTGCGATCCTTTTCATTGTCAATTTAATTGTCATGTAGTTCAAGCATCATCCTACACCAGGCCAGAAAAATGTTAATATAAGTCATGTATAGGTGACATATGCTAAATACGGATTGTTCAGAATGCTCTTACATCTTTCTTGCCCAGTTTACACATGTAACTTAAAATAAGCAAGCACCTCATCAAAAAGAGTCTTGTGCAAGAGGATTCAACAATTTTAAAATATGAATTTAAGAAACATAAAAATATTTTATCAACTGAGCCTGATTTAAAATATAATTGTTAAACCATTTGTTTCTCTTTTTGATCTTTAATTGCTATTTGAAATTCTACCCTGTACATTTTTAAAATTTTTTTTTCAATTGCATAGATTATAAAATAGAAATGTTCCTGATGTACTGAGAAACATTTTGCTTGTCTGGTGATAAAATTATTGCAAATGCCTTAGCCCTGAATATGGAAACAAAGTTGTTTTGTTAGGCTGCCCAATTGAGAAAATAAAACAGCCAGTCTGCTTGTTTGCTTGCCTGCATTATTTTTACAAAGAACTCAAGGAGGCAAATATATGTAATACATCTTCCCCCTCCTCCTATTTTCCCCACAACAACAACCTTGAGAGGTGGGTCAGGCTGAGAGAGAGTAACTGGCCCAAACTTACCCAGCTGGTTGTACTTCTGTCAATGCAGTCAATCCAAAGTAAATAATTTCGTTTATTTAGCAAGGAGTCCTTGCATTTTCTTTTATTAAAAGTACAAATCAGTGGTGGGTTGCTCCCGGTTCGGCCCAGATTGGGCGAATCAGTAGTGGCAGTGGCAGGAGGCTTGGCCCATCTCCCCGGATGCCCAGGACCATTGCTGCGTCCTAAGATCATGTGATCATCTTTTGCAAACTTTTGACATGCAAAGTCAATGGGGAACCCAGATTCACTTAACAGTCGTGTTACTAACTTATCAACTGTGGTGATTCACTTAAAAACAGTGGCAAGAAAGCTTGTAAAATGGGACAAAATTCACTTAACAAATGTCTCACTTAACTACAGAAATGTTGGGCTCATTTGTGGACATAAGTTGAAGACTATCTGTACTTTGTTCCCTAGAATTAGCTTAAAACCTATTTTTGTAGTTCTTTTGTAAACCTTGGACATTGCATATCAGCCAAAAATGGTAAGGGTTAATACTATTTAATGGGACTTCTGGCTTCCTTTCATTTTTCACTAATGACAGTCTCCTCAGGAAGCAACAGAGTACTATTAGATATCGTCCATAACTGTAGTGCATGCTAATTGCTCCCATCCCAGTAACCATGCTGTATGATTTTTGGTTTGAATAAAGATCAGCTCAGCCATTATGGAGTCAATGTTCATGTCTGTTTGATTGTTTGTAACCTTCAATTGAAGTGTTACATCAAAGTGCAACAATTTTTCGATTAATGTATCTCAAATGGGTTAACTTACAGAATGAGTCCAAAAGCAGGGATACATGACTCCCATGGGACTGACATTTGGCAAGCTTGTTGCCGCTTCAGTGCTGCCGCACCACCACAGTCAGCTGCAATCACATAATCATCATTTCTAACACTCCTTGCCAGCCCACAAGGAAAGTCATTGGGGAAGCTGGCAGGAAGTCAGAAATTGCTTCTGCTCCCACTGCTTCCCCTAACCCCTTTGGTCATTCCCTATCTCTGTTTAGATAAGGAAATATCTGTGAAATGATGATTCAGTTGGTCATGGGTTATCTAATAAAACTTTATTTTTGGCTTAGTATGATGTTTGGTCCGTCCAACAGTGTTTTCTTCATGCTGCAGTTAAGCAAACTACAGGTCAGGGCTGCGCACCAAGGTGGCGCAGTGGTTAAATGCAGCACTGCAGGCTACTGCTAGATCAGCAGGTCAGCGGTTCAAATCTCACCGGCTCAGGGTTGACTCAGCCTTCCATCCTTCCGAGGTGGGTAAAATGAGGACCCAGATTGTTGGGGGCAATATGCTGACTCTCTGTAAACCGCTTAGAGAGGCCTGAAAGCGGTATATAAGTCTACTGCTATTGCTATTGCTATGTGAACAATGCTTAAGACAAGAATGAGTCCAAAATCTTTTTCATGGCAAAGTTATCCATACATGCTTATTTGATGAATTAGATAACATTTCTCCCAAATAGATATGTAAACAATAGAATGGAATAGAATATACTGTATTTTCGGAGTATAAGACACAACAGCGTATAAGATGCATCAAGGTTTTGAAGAGGTAAATTAAAAAAAAGAAGTTTTTATACTCTGCAAACCTCCCAAAAACGGCCCATTTTATGCAAAAACAGGCCTGTTTTTTTAAAGGGTATAAATAGCCCTTAGGAGGCTTGTAGAATGTTCCGGGGGTGTGTGTGCAAAAACAAGCAAAGAGCGGCCTGTTTTTTGAGAAAACGGACCCATTTTTTGTTTAAAAAGGGCATTAGGAAGCTTATAGAGTGCTCCTGGGGATGGGGGGGGGGCAAAATTGAACAAAAAATGAGCCATTTTTTGCTCATTTCTGCCCTCCCCAGCCCCCAGGAGCACTCTGCAAGGCTCCTAAAGGCTATGCATGGCCCTTTTGGTGAAGGGGGCGGGGTTTCTGGAGGCAAAAAATGCTGTATTCAGTGTATAAGATGCACCCAGATTTTCAGCCTCTTTTTTGAGGGAAAAAAGTGCATCTTATACTCCAAAAAATATGGTAATTCTTTATTGGCCAAGTGTGATTGGACACACAAGGAATTTGTCTTTGGTGCTTATGCTCTCAGTGTACATAAAAAGACAAGATACATTCATAAAGAATCATAAGATACAACACTTAATGATATGATGATGATGATGTGCCCCACAGTGGAAGAGGGCAGAGAAGTAACTTGGTGGGAAGGGGATGAGATGACTTTTTTATAGCAATAGTAATAGCAATAGTAGTAGCACTTAGACATATATATCACTTTACAGTAATTTACAGCCCTCTCTAAGTGGTTTACAGGGTCAGCATATTGTCCCCAATAATCTGGAACCACATTTTACCAACCTCGGAAGGTTAGAAGGCTGAGTCAACCTTGAGCCTGGTGAGAATTGAACTTCTAGCAGTTGGCAGAATTAGCCTGAAATACTGTATTCTACCTACTTTGCCACCATGGTTCTTATCATGCAGAAAGGGGGGAAAGTGGTTTGAAGAACGAATAAACATAGTCCCTATATCTGTTGGTATTTCATTAAAGAAGCCACAGTACAGTATCTGCATGATCCCAGGAAAATACAAATTTAACTTAATATGGAGATGGTGATTTGGTATGGCAAGTCTGTTGCATCCCGTCAGAATGTCCTTGACTCAAATGTATTTTTCTGACTACTGTATGAGCTCAGAACAAGTGCCCTTTCTGTTTCATATCCAAATAACTGTATATTCCTAGTACACCCATTTGCAAGATGACTGTTTAAAGGACATCCATGTATCTTCCTTGGTCAACATATAACTAGATGCAAAACGCAACCACATTCTATCCATGAAAAGCCAAAATGCTCTTCTCCATTGAAAGTATTTCTAAATCAAATTCTCTTTCATCAGATTAAATGAAAACTGACAGAAAACAGCAAAGTACTTTTTCTGCCTAGCAACTTTTTTTTAATACTGGGCATGCCATTTATTTAATTTAAAAAAAAACAAGTGTAGTTTTATTCTGACAGTTCAGAATCATAAATAATTTAACTGCTTAGCAATTTATTTCAAGCTCTGGACACTTTAAAGTTTACTGATGTAAAAATCTATTTTGTGGAGCCCAAACTTCCCCAAAAGATGTTCAGTGAGAACCAGAGCTTTGTCTGATTATTATGGATACACTATGGGACTCTTAGTCTTTTTTATAAAAGCAATTATTTGAATGGCCTTTCTTCTGTTTTAAAAAAAATATTGCCAATAAAACCACATGCCTATGAAATCGCATTTAAGTCAAGCTCAATTTAAATACTTTTTCCTGGTTAGTTTTTTTAATTACATTATAGTTATTTTACAGTAATGTTTTATTATTGCTTTTTCAATATCTTCACTTATAATCAGTACGGAAGATCCAAAGTAAGAAAAAAAATCTTTTAAACAGACAAACTCCAAACTACAAATGCTCGTTTATTTAACAAATGTAACAAACTTTTAAAGGTTTAGGAATATTAATTACAAAGGGTGTTTTTGTATTACAACTCACCTTCCAGGAGACATCAGTGGCACTTTGTCCTAACTACACTCATTGCTGCTGTTGTCAGCATCAACCTTTGTGCTGCATTAGTCAACATTCCCCAGATAAAGTGCCCATGTTTCAGGCAAAGGGTGAATCCTCTTGCTTTCTAACTCTTCCTTTTAACAAGGAGATACTCAAACATTTTCTGTCCTTCACATCCGTCTCCTATGAAGAAGTTGTGTTTGAGCTCGTACGATGATCTTTTCTGTGACTCTGTGAACTTAAGAAGGAAAGGAAACAAACAGCCTTGGGTTTCTTTGCTTTGGTACGGTTCCTTGAGGATCGATTGGTGGGAGAAGCTGGAATCAAATTCACCTATCTCTGTTTGCTGGTTTTCCTTTCTTTCAACTTCTTGTGCCCCGATGCAGCAAGAGCTCCAGCCATTCTCCAGCTGCTTCTGAAGGGAGCCCAGCCTGCTAGGGTGTTTTCAGCTGTTCAGGCGAGCTTGTCTTTGCCGCGGGAGATGGAACTCAGAGAGGACATTCCGGCAGCCTGTTTTCCTGCAGCTGAGGAGACGACATTCATGGACCTCCTTTTTGATTTGGATATGTCACTGTTGTCAGGGCAACTGTTAATGGTGGCGTATCATATTTTCTTCTCTTGGGCTCTGTGCTGAATATTTCAGTAAGCAGAAGAAAGAAGATACCGGGAGGGAAAAGGTGCTGCATCAGGAAGGAAAGAAGGCCAGGGATCTGACTGAACAAGTTAAAGCTCCAAAGGGAGGAAGAGGACGACAAGGAGGGAGGAGGCATTCCAACCAATGTACTTTTAATTAAGCCCTCTCTCTTTTTTTGGTCAAGGTACAAGAAATTGTAACTCCTATCTGCCAAGTGCACGTTGGTTTCTCTCTGCTGTTTTCAATCTGCTGGGCCCTCACAGGATGTGTTACAAATGAATCCACTGCTTTGCAGCTAGCTGGAATTGACATATTGTAGGTGGGGGGAAAGGACCGGCAATAATGCCAGGTTCAGCAGCTGCTCTCCGGCAAGAGCGGCTGAAGAAGCCAGGTATGAGGCCAAATACACCTGTTCTGTTTACCATTAATGAGGAGGACGAGCATCTAAAGAGCAACCATTCCAAGAGATCAAAAGGTAGGCATTACTTTAGACAGGCAAGTTTGAGTTATCTATAGACTACATCCAGCATCGCAATGGTGGAGTACCGCACGTTGCTATTCTCGGTGCTTTCTTTTTTGCATTGGGTAACCATATTAAAGGTAGGCCTCTTGGCTTGTTAACTGTTGCAAGTTGCTTCTTGTCTTGATATTTATCACATTAATAAGCAATCTTCTAGACATGCAGTTTGTTAAACGGAACGCTGTTAAACAAGCGATGAAATTTGTTTCTATGCAAGAATAAGTACTTGTTTAATTTTTTTTGGCATGTATTAGTAAAATGAAGGCATTAACATGGAGAAACTGGCCTTTGAGAAATTTGCTCTCAGTTGTTATCAATTGTATTATACGCATTACTGCATGAACAAATATACTCAGATAATTTAAATATTCATAAAGACGCATACATTGACTTTAGCAAAATCACTTGGCTTCATGGTTACTTTATGTCAGGATTCTTGACAAAATCTTATTTCTGTAGCAGTCCTGGTCTCACTTTATCTGAGTTGTTATAATCTTAATCACTAAAACTTTAGATTACTCTCCATTTTTCACTTTTTATTTGTAAATTGAACACTGGTTGACTTGAGTATTTTTTTCCTTTTGCATCCTTGGCTGTGATAACTAACTTACAGATTCTAGAAACATGAGGTGGGGATGGGGAACAGCCATCAGTTTTTGGGCAATATTTGTGAAAGAGGCACCATAAACTTCAATAGTTTTGTGGACTTAGTAGGTTGTTTATTTTTCCTCTTCATTCAACCAGACAACTAATAGGACTGTTTGACTGGTTAATATTTACCGATTTAGATAAATGTTCATGGTTATTTGAAAGTGACAGTTTCTTTCATATCCTGCTCTGAATCACTAACTTCCGGGAACTTAGCTTCTTTAAAACATCCATGTTAAAATATTTAACACATTTAAATATTTTATTTTAATTTAATTATTCCAATATAAATATGGAAAAAAGGTGAAAATCCCCAAGAAACTAAATTAATGATTATTTGAAACAGTTCCCTTCCATGTCTCTTGCTGTCTCGCCCACTTCTATAATATGTTTAGGAAGCAACCAGCAGCTTTTATATTTTAGTGTGTTTCCTAGCCATGCTAGAATTCTACAATATTCTAAATCTACTCTGTGCAGGTACTGTGGGAAATGTAGATCCAATGGGCTACTTAGCAACAAAGTCTTTGCAATCTTGTTTGTATTAGCACTTTCTAATTTCTAAGATACAGATTCTCTCCTGGACAAACTCTGTATTGGAGTGTCCATTAGGCACTCAAAGTTTATTCTGCAAGATGTCCTGGAAAGGATAAATTGGTGTCAATTGATTGTTGTTAATTAGGTGAGGACACAAGAATGTTGCAAGGTAGAACATATCATTCCTCTTCTGTGCTAGGGAAAAAAAAGAGATTTATCAAATTTCATTTGAATATCCAGTGTACTTCACAATCTCATTTTTGTTGCTGCAGTATCTTTGGTGTCTGCATATTTTTACTGTAGTTGCGTAAAAGTGTGCTGGATTATTTTAGGTCAAAACTAAAATTGAATTCATTTTGTACCAAAGTTTCAGATTACTGGGCTTTCCATTCTGTGATTTGTCACTTTTTATACTTATTTTAAATGCCTAGTAATCAATTCAGTTTTCAGTCCTTCCCTTTGATGGTAGTAGTTTTCAATCCCTAAAGTTGATAATATTATTTCTGAAGTCAGTAAGTAGCACACGCATGCTATCCCTGTATCCTTGGCAACAATTTGAATAAGCTAGTCACAAGTTTGTTTTGGCTAAGAGACTTTTTATATGCTGAAAGTTGGAGCAAAACATTAAAAATGCTTACTTTCTAATTATTTGTCTGGAAGTTAATAGACACAGTTTGTATTTTAGAATGCTATGGCTCCATAATATGTAAGGAATATTCATTTATTTTTATGCCATTATTTGTGACCACAAATATCAACATTTTGTCCCCCCCCCCAACACTGCTCTGAATTAAGAGCTACTAAGCATTGGAAAAAAACAGCTTTCTGATGTTGAAAACAGCAAATAAAATGAAAGATGACTTCTCCATGGGACAGAATCTTTTCATTTCTATATTGCTATCTCCATCTGGATGGCCAGAATAATATTTAACATACCAAACACATGTCATTAATGTATTTATTTTCCAGACATGTATTTAATTTTCTCATTTTCTGTAAATCTCATCATGCTAAACATGTGGTAAATAACAACGTACTTTGCACGAAATACAGCTCAGTAACAAACTTATGCTTAGTTTTTTGTCATTCTTAAAAAATGTTGTTGTTTTGAAATGGAATGTAAAGAAATTGTTGCCTAGGTCCCTAAAGCATGAACGAAGCTGGACAAAATCTGTATGAAAACAATAATAATGAATTTATTTTTGTTTTTTCTTTGATTTTTTTTTAGCATAAATATCTTCTTATTCTTAGTTTGGTGCATGACAGGGATATCTATCATGACCACAAACACTTTAATATGATGTTTGCATGATAATGAAGATGTTTCTAACCAAACTCTTCATTCTGTAGTTCAAAAAAAATGAGAGGTATTTATTTTAATAATAGCTGTACGTTTTTCATTTTTCATTGTTGTGAAAATATGAAGGGGAAGATATGTGATTGTTGCTCAACTTATGAAGCTTGATAGCTGTTTTTACTGCTCATCAGTTTTTGCATAAGTGCACTCTGGAGTATTGGATTCAGGGATTAGGAGAACAATTGTACTGTGCTCATTCAATAAAACTTGCTCCCAAATTCTCAACATGCCAAACTAAAGAGCTTTACTCATGAAAAATAACCCAAGAGAATCTTCTGGATATTGAGAAAGAATATAGGGCATGTTATGAAGAGATGTAGACAAGCCATAGAATGATTGTCTCTTCAGATTGAAATGACTAATCTGCTCAGGATTATGGGAAGTTGGAAGCCCAGTGCATCTGGAGGGCACTAAATGGGAAAGGCCTATTTTAATATTTTTCACTTGATATTCTTGTTCCAGTTCAGATATGGATTATGATTGTTAGTGCAGACTTTGATGGCATTGTTGGAAGAGGGCCCAACAGTGCTGCTGGCACTTTTCTTTAACCTCTGAAGGAGTTTAGATATCTCTTTTCACAATCAGTTCTTATTCTGTCCTGATACACCCATTCAGACAGCATTAACTCAATTACTCATAAAGCTCTTACTGTACCTTTCTATTCTTTAAAACTTCTCCTTCATTTCACAACAAGGCAAAACTTGTCTTTCCAGTATGGTGTTAGTGAATTGAAAACTGCCAAAGCTTTAGCTAGCAGAAAACACAGGGGTGTTTCTAATGGCCATTTCATGACACAGGTAACTCAGGTGCCACAGCCACAAAAGCAGGCAGTGACAAATTGTTGATGTTTTCACTTTTCCGTCCAAACTGATAATGACTAAAAGACTGTACCTAATAGATGCTCATTATTATGAAGGATGTCTTTGCTCTGGACCTCTCTGGCAAAGTCTTTGGAACCCGTAGCTAACATTATGGCTGGTTTAGAGAACCTCCGAATCCCACCCCTGGCTGGCCCTGCCCCAGTGGTGGGTTCCTACCGGTTCGGACCAGTTCGGCTGAATTAGTAGTACTTTGGCGGCCTTGGTGTTGGAACTGGCAGCGACCTATGCCTGCCACGCCCCTGAACCAGCTCTCAGGCGGCACCATAGGTACTGCCATCTTGTTTTTTGCTTCTGTGAATGCGCAGAGAAATTTTTATTGCTCTGCGCATGCACGCATGCAAAGCACGCGCAAAGTGTGTGAGGTGTGCCCACAAGCGAACTGGTAGTAGTGACTGCCAGAACCCACCTCTGCCTCTCCCCTCCCAGGAGTCTCCACGCAGTCCATTTTAAATGTGAGGTAAGTGCAGGGCCCATATGGAAGCTCAGGGAGGGGGGAAAACGGACCTCCCTGAAGTTCCAGAAAATCAGAAACGGCCTGTTTCTAGCCTCTGGAGGGACTCTGAAGCCGGGGGGAGGCAGTTTTCAACCTCCCAGGGGCTCGAGGAAAGTCTCAGGAGCCTGGGACTGGTGCCTTAGCTTTTATACCTGCTGGAAGCCAAAGGAATGCTTGGACAGATGTCTTTTTGTAGAAGTGGTTTTAGAATTTTGCAAAGGACAATTTAAGATTAATTAGACTGGTAAGAGAGAAAGTGTTACCAGTTTATCTTAAAATAAAAGCAATAGCATGTAAAATTCAGGCAGTGTGAATATTTACACGGGTAACTACAATTAAATCAGTGCATGCACACTTTGAATCATAGTTGTAAAAGGAACTTTTTTTAAATGGTGAAGATACTACATCTTAACTGTCAAATGGTTTGACAGTTCTGTCTCGACCTTTTAAACAGATGTACAGGTAATCCTCAATTTACAACAGTTCATTTTGCGACCATTCAAAGCTACAATGGCATTGAAAAAAGCATAAATTTTTCACACTTACAACCTTTTCCAGCATCCCCATGGTCACATGATCAAAATTCAGATGCTTGGCAGCTGCTTCATAATTATGACGGTTGCAGTGTCCTGGGGTCATGTGATCAGCTTTTGTGACCACCTGCCAAGAAAAATCAATGGGAAATCCAGATTCACTTAATAACCATTTTACCAACTTAACAAATGCAACAATTCACTTAACCGTGGCAAGAAAAGTCAAGAAATGGGGCAAACTCACTCAACAAATGTTTCACTTAGCAACATAAATTTTGGGCTCAATTGTGGTCATACCTTGAGGACTACCTGTATTACTTTTACCAAACTTGGACTCAGAATAAGCCAATATGGCAACCCTACACCCTCCAAATGCTGTACAGATGCACGTACACACACACACATCCCACACCCACACTGGTTTTGTAATTGGATTAAAATATATATAGACTTATAAATGGTAAAAGAAAGGATGAATATAAAACATAGAAGATAGGTATGCATGTGCT